TAGGAATCTAACCTCAACATGATAGCTACTAAATAAAAACTAAATACGAGTTCTGAGGGATGGTCACTGGAGCAAAAACGTTAACTCTGATTTCTCTTCAAAGATGTTGCCAGACCTGCTGAGCTCTCCCAGCAACTTCTGTTTCTGTTTGATAGCTACTAACCTCAGTCGTGACTGAGGAGAACCAGCAACAACCAGGAGTAATGGAACCAAAGGATCTTTTAAAAACGAGGGAGGGCACTGAGGGGGGTTAATGAGGGAGGGTGCTGAGGGGGTTAATGAGGGAGAGCACTGAGTGGGCTAATGAGGGAGGGTGTTGAGGGGGTTACTTTTAGAAATCTCCTTCAAAAACTGCTACCATTCCCCACACTCCCAGTGTCCCCTGGTTTGTCCAACTTCCTGAATTGTCTTTTCAATTCTCCCTACCAAGGCATCCAGGTAACAAAACAGGGTAATTGTAACATAGTGTGGAGCTGGAGGAACGCAGCAGCATCAGAGGAGCAGGAAAGCCGACGTTTCGGGTCAGGGACCCTTCAGAAATCTGACTTCAGCATCGGCAGTTCTTACTATCTCTGAGCGAGTTATAACCCCACTGCGAAGCCTCTCCATTTCTGAAGGAGCGTCCTGACCCGAAACGTCAGCTTTCCTGCTCCTCTGATGCTGCCTAGCCTGCTCTGTTCCTCCAGCTCCAGCGTCGGCAGTTCTTACTATCTCAGGGTAATTGTAAGGTGGTCTGACATATGTCACAGAAACCAACCAGTGTTGTTGTCTCAGGTTTTATAGGTGGATCGAGAGATGCTGAGAAAGTCTCTCCTTTGCTGCTATCTTGGTTTCCAGAAAATGGGTTTCAGAGTGAAGATGTGATGTGGGATTACATCACCGCGGGGAATGAAACCCCAATTTTGCAACGTGACGGACGGACATCTGAACCTAAAATGAAGAATGGGTCTGTCCTGTTGCAGGAATTGGATCTGTTGGAAGAAAGTCATATCTATCAGGGGTCTGTAAGGCGACAGGAAATGACTGGTAGGTCAGTGAAAACTTCACATCAGCATGCGTAGGGTGTATGCCACTTATTTTGAGCCAAGCAGGCTTGAGGCATTTCTCCCTAATTTAATATCTTTGATATCTCCTGTACCTTGTGTTAATGTGAGATCTATGCTCTTATGAGAGAACAGCAACAGATTTTATTTGCTTAGCAATATAGACAAGAGTTCCAGCTCCATGAGATCTGACAAAGCTCCCTAGGCACAGGTTCAGCAGCTATATCCAGAATAAAGGTACAATTTCCTTTCCTCTACACCTCCCTCAAAGACTCAAACATTACTGATTTTGCTAGTAACATTTAAGCATGAACATTTCATATTTAACATCTTTCTTTACTTTTTTAGAGTCATTACAGTGTGGAAGCAAGCCATTTGGCCCATTGAGGCCACACCGATTCTCCAAACAGCATCCCACCCAGACCCACATTCCCCTTACCCTATTACTGAAACCCTGCATTTCCCATGGCCACTCCACCTAACCTACACATCTCTAGAACTGCAGGGCAATTTAGCATGGCTTTCCCACCAAACCTGGACTGTGGGCGGAAACTGGAGCACCCAGTGGAAACCTATGCAGACATGGGGAGAATGTCCACACAGGCAGTTGCCCGAGGGTGGAATCGAACCCGGCTTCGTGGCATTGTAAGGCAGCAGTGCTAACTACTGAACCACTGTGCCACCCTTTACCACACTAACCCTCTTGCCCCGCCTGCACCTTGACCAAAACCAAAAGTCAGTTGTGCTGGAGAGAATAATCTGCAGCAGCACCCTCGGGTTTTCTTAAAAGATGGGTGCCTCTTCCAGCCGGGGGAGGGGCTGTTTGACAAGTGGACAAAATCGATCGAGCGTCACACACAAAAAGCTTACTTTACAAGCGAGAAAGCTGAAACCCTTCAATGACCTGTTGTTCTAATGCACCAGCTATGGTTGCTTTGCCTTTGTTAACTTTCCTCTGCTGGATACAAAGAGTTTTGAGGATGTTCAGGATGTCTGGGCTGTCTTGTGGTTCCCTCGGAGAGCTGCCACGTTGATGTAGTGGAACTGCTCACAATGGCTCGGGCAAACAAAGACTTGAATGTAACAACAGTGAAAAATGGTAAAAAAAAAATTGATTCATATGACTCCAGACCTTGGGTGATCAAAGCTATACAAGCAGTTCAGCATAATAAATAGTAAATGATTAGGAATTGTGTGCCAAATCTTCATAATCTTTTCCGTTGTAGCAGAGTATAGCATGAGCCTGTGAGGCTGTTAAGATTCGTTTTACCAAAATCCAATGAGATAAGGACTGTTCACCGGACACACATGTTCTTGTGTAAAGCTATATTATAAATGAGGGTAGTGTTCTAAAAAAGATTTTAACATCAGACAAACCAAAGCAGAGACTAAGAGCTTGAAAAAGCGAATATTACTGGAAATTTTGAAAGGGATATTAAAATTGACATTAATTGTTTTTACAATTCTCTTAGCAAAAGCAAAGTGGCCAGGAGCAGCTTGAACCACTTAAGCTGTCATGTTCTGTAGTGAAAAAAAAAATACTGGACATGTTAAATAATAATTTTGCCTCAATATTTACAGTCAAGAAAAAAATCAGCACGTTGAACAGTCGAAGAAAACCTTCTATGAATCAGGGTCAGGCGTTCAACAAAGGCATTGTAAGCAAAACAACAATAATGAAGAGAATGATGGGACTGAAACATAATAAACTGCCAAAAAATACTGATTCCACAGTCAGTACCACATTCAGTATAAGTGAGAACATTGCCACTGACCTAGTTAAAACCTTTCAACGTTCTCATGATTCAGGAAAAGTTCCTTTCAATAGGAAGGTTTTTGAAGAAAGCTGACTGGGCATGGGGATGAAACCAGGACATTATCAGTTAGCTTAAGGAAGAGAAGCTGGGAGAGAGAGAGGACTGAGAAAGATGCAGGGAAGGTTCAATGTGATTTGAACAAATTGAATGAATTGGCAAATGCATGTCAGATGAAGTATACTGTGGATCAATGTGAGGTTATCTACTTTGGGAGCAAAAACAAAAAGGTGAGTTATTACCTGTATGGGAAATGGGGAGGTGCAATGAGACCTGGGTGTCCTTGTATATCAGTTGCTGAAGATAGGCACGCAGGTGTAACGGATGGTGACAAAGGCAAATGGCCTTCTAGCAAGAGGATGCAAATAAAGAAGCAAGGATCAAAGTTTTGGTAAAGATCTGTACCTTGGGTTCTGGGTGAGGTTGTTGACTTGCTGGCTGAGCTGGCTTGTTCTCCTTCAGATGTTTCGTCACCAGGCTAGGTGACATCATCAGTGGAGCCTCCGATGAAGTGATGTTATTCTACTCCGCATGGAATTTATACTGTTTGGTCTGTTATGGCGAGTACTGTTATTTCTGGTTTTGATCTGTATGGGTTTGTAAATGGGGTCCAATTCTGTGTTTGTTGATTGGAGAACCATGCCTCTAGGAATTCCCGTGAGTGCCTATGTTTGGCCAAACATACAACGGGAATTCCTAGAGGCATGGTTCGTCTGAACGAGAACAAGCCAGCTCGGTGAGCAAGTCAACAACCTCAGAAGCAGGGATGTTTTGCTGCAATTGTACGGGGCTTTGGTGAGACCACACCTGGTGAATTGCGTACAGTTTTTGTTTCCTTATCTGAGGAAAGATGTTCTGGTGACGGAGGGAGTGCAGCGAAGATTTCCCAGACTGATTCCTGGATGGCAGGGCTGATTTATGGAGAGAGACTGGATCAGTTAGGACTATGTACTTGGAGTTTAGAAGAATGAGGGGGAAATTTCACAGAAACATAACATTGTACAGGACTAGACAGTGTAAATGCAGGAAGGATGTCTGGTGAGTCCAGGCCCTGGAAGGTCACAGTCTTAAGATATGGGGTGGACCATTTAGGACTGAAGTGAGGAGAAATTTCTTCACCCAGAGAGTGGTGAGCCTGTACAGTCCTTTGCCAGAGAAACTGATTGAGGCCAAAACATTGAATGTTTTCAAGAAAGAGTTGGATATAGTTTTTGGGAATAAAGGGATCAAAGGATGTGGAGAGAAAACGGGAACAGGGCACTGAGTTGGATTATCAGCCATGATCATATTGAATGGTATAGCAGGCTCGAGGGGCTCATATTTTCCATCTGCTTATATTTTTATTTGAGCGATTCTCTGTCTATACCTAGCTATTTAAGAATGGAAGCAGGTGGGAGCAGCCCCATTTAGCAGGGTGTTATTGGATAACCATTGGTGGAGAATGCCATGATCAAACATGTCAAAGGCTGCAAAGAGGTTGAGAAAGGCAAGCAGGGAAAATTTAACCTTTATCACAGACAAGGAATACCATTTGTGACATAGATGAGAGCTGTTTTGAAACTGTATTTCTGCTAAATGGGAATGTTACTTTGGTGTGAATCTCTAACGTTTCTTTCAACTAACTACCTTCTTTCAGAGCAGGACACTTCGCCTGAGCCAATCAAATTAGACCACCCTGTAGGTTCCTCTTCCCTGCTTCAAGTCAGTAAAAATAATTCCGTCCGGGTCGTCTGGCGGTACTTCAATCATATAAATGAACATGTGATTCTGGAGTACACAATTGATGGTAACTCGTTGGCATTCAGTTCATATTTCAAAAACCGAGTGAGGTTTGATAAGAAGACTGGCTCTCTCTTTCTGAAGAAGTTAGAAGTAATAGACAGTGGCACTTATGAAGCAACCTTCACTATGCCTATGGCCAAGGATCATTTTGTGGTCAGACACACTTGTTTTCTTGTGGAAGTTTGGGGTGAGTGAAACATTTGTAATATCTAACTCTCAACCAGTATGTTTATTAGACAATTGTTTGGCAGTTTTATTCCCAGCAATTCATTCGTATCCCCACCTATTGATTATTCTGTTATTTACATGCAGCAGTCAGTTGGCTGGATGGCTGGTTTGTAACAGAGAGTGACACAAGTAGCATGGGTTCAACTCCTACACTCAGCCAATACATTATGAGGGTCCCTCCTTCTCAAACTCTTCCCTCACCTGAGGCACGGTGACCCTCAGGTTAAACTACCGTTAGTTGTGTCTCTCAATGAGACAGCAGCCCTTCTGGGACTTTATTATGTCCCCTCGGGTTTTATTAAATGTAATTTGGATCCCTTTAATGTTAATGTTGGGATTTATTTATTTCTGGGTTTACTGTTAAATTCTTGTTAGGGAGTGATAGTACTAGTAAAAGGACAATCACTAACTGACAATTACAATATAAAAGTAATAAAAAACTTCCAGTGAGTGAGGTATGATATGGTTCTCGCTCGCTGTCTCTGTCTCTGTCCTGTGTACCTCAGGATGGAATCCTCCTTCCCCTGGTTCCTCACAGTTGGTCCTTTAGTAACTTCAATATACTCAAGGGATATGGGAGTATGACGATTTGGATCCAAAATTGGCTTAGTGACAGGAAACAGAGTTTGACAGATGCTTTTGAAAGTAGAAAGCTTCTTGTGCTTGTTCCATAGGGCTTAGTATTGGGTCCCTTGCATTTTGTGGTCTCATTATATTAACCATTTAGACTTGAATATGGAGGCATGGCTGAGAAATTTGCCTGGTAGTTGATAGTGAAGAGAATGGCTGTCAAATGCAGAATGATAACTGTGGTTCGGTTGAATTGGTGGAAGAGTGACAAGTGAAATTCAATCTGGAGGTGTATGAAATAATTCTTTTGAGGAGGCCAAACAATGGAAGGGAAAACCCTTTTAAATAGGGAGCTGTTGAAAGGGATAGAGGAAATGAGAAATCTTGGATAGTATGTCCGCAATTCCCTGAAGGTAGCAAGGCACCTAGAAAGGGGGTAAAGAAGGCACATGGGATGGTTTCCTTCATTTCGAAAGGTACTGAATCCAGGAACAGGGATGTATTGCTAAGACTATATAGATACGGGTTAAGCGGCTGCTGGAGATTTGTGTGCATATCTGGTCACCACGTTACAGGAAGTTCATTATTG